CTCTCACCCCCACCCCCACACCTCTGGCCAATACCCCAGCTCTTGTATGCATAAATAAATAAATCTTAAAAAAAAAAGCTAAAAAAAAATCCCTCATTATTATTGTGTTGTGAGTATCTCTCTTCAGTTCTGTTATTGTCTTATTTTTCTTGGTGTCCCATCATTCAGTGCATATATATTTATGTGTAGTTTATCACTGTATCATAATATCCTTTTCTATTTCTTACTATTTTTTTAATTGGAAACCTATTTTATCTAAGTATAGCTTTTCCTGACTTCTAAAAAATTTTTATTACCATTTGTTTGTAGCACTGTATTCCAGTCTTTAATTCTCTATTTATCTCCTCTGTTTATCTCCTCTGGTAAGACAGATTTCTTATTAATGGCACAAGGTTTGACTTTGTTTTGAAAGCCATGCAACACTACAGCTTTTGACTGGTGATACTTAAGACATTTATACTTAAGGTGATATTGAGACATAAATGCTTATTGGCCATTTTCGTTTTGATTTTTTTAATAGTACATCTTATGTTTTTATTTTTTGAAATCTTCCTTTTAGTGTTTTATTTAGGTTCCATTTCTGCTGTTTTATGTGTTACTTCTATTGATTTCTGTTTTGTTTGTTTGTTTATGTCTATTGAGTTTTGTTTGAAGTTCTTCTGAGGTTCATCTATGATGGACTATTTGTGTGACCTGTTGGACCATCTGGTCTCATTCTGTCCGGCTCCTCCTTCATTGTATATGATTTAGATGCCTGTTACCTCTACATTTGCTGTTGCTTGATAATTATCCCTTCAATCATGTATGACTAAATGGTGATAAATTCTTTAAGTTTTTGCTTTTTAGTGAAGATCCTTACACTTCCTTCTGTCTTGAATGTTAATCTTACAGGGTAAAGAGTTCCAGATTAGAAATCTTTAAGCACCTTAAATATCTCCTGCCAATCCCTTCTTGCTTGAAATGTTTCCACAGAAAAGTATGCTGATAGTCTTTTCAGTCTCCCCTTACAGGTTACCATGTTTTTTGTCTTGATGTTTTTGGTATTCTGTTCCATCATTGGCTTTTTTTTTTTTTTTAAAGATTTCTTTCTTTCTTTCTTTCTTTCTTTCTTTCTTTCTTTCTTTCTTTCTTTCTTTCTTTCTCTCTCTCTCTCTCTCTCTCTCTCTCTCTCTCTCTCTCTCTTTATTTCTTTCTTTCTCTTTCTCTCTTTCTCTCTCTCTCTCTCTCTTTCTTTCTTCCTTCCTTTCCTTTCTTTCTTTCTCTCTCTCTCTCTCTCTCTCTCTCTCTCTCTCTCTCTCTCTCCTCTCTCTCTCTCTCTCTCTCTCTCTCTCTCTCTCTCTCTTTCTTTCTTTCTTTCTACAAGCACTGGGTACAGTCAGAAGCGCGGGGAGGGTGAGAGAATTCACCAGACGAAGTACACTGCTGAGGGGAGCAGCAGGCGGCAGGAGAGGTCTGCGCGCCATGTGGGACCCTCCCTGGTGGCCGGGGAGCAGCCAGGGATCAAACCAGCACTGCAGAGGCTACGGGCAGCTTCGCAACCCAGCGCTCAACCGCTGTGCCACCGGGGAGGCCCCTCCATCATTGGCTTTTTTTTTTTAGATTTTTTTTTTTTATTTTATAGAGGCATGTTTATTTATTTATTTGTTTGTTTGTTTGTTTTGTTTACACATGCACTGGGTACAGCCAGAAGCACGGGAGGGTGAGAGAATTCACCAGAGCCAGAGAAGGGAGCAGAGCAGGCAGAAGGACCGAAGTACACTGCTGAGGGGAGCAGCGGGCGGCAGGAGAGGTCTGCGCGCCATGTGGGACCCTCCTCTGGTGGCCGGGGAGCAGACGGGGATCGAACCAGTGCCGTAGAGGCCGCGGGCAGGTTCGCAACCCAGCGCTCAACCGCTGCGCCACCGGGGAGGCCCTCCATCATTGGCTTTTAAAAACGTTATGAAAATGTGTCTGCTTGGTATTTTTTTTAAAAGATTTATTTATTTATTTATACAAGCACTGGGTACAGTCAGAAGCACGGGAGGGTAAGAGAATTCACCAGAGCCAGAGTAGGGAGCAGAGCAGGCAGAAGGACCAAAGTACACTGCTGAGGGGAGCAGCGGGCGGCAGGAGAGGTCCCGGTGGCTGGGGAGCAGCTGGGGATCGAACCAATGCCACGGAGGCTTCGGGCAGCTTCGCAACCAGCACTCAACCGCTACGCCACAGGGGAAGCCCTGCTTGGTATTATTTTGTTTGGAGCTCTTTGGGCTTCCTGGATGAGGATATTTGGTTTATTTTCTGGATCAAGATGGTTTTGAGCAATTATTTTTTTAAATAAAATTTCCATGCCTTTCTCTTCTCCTTCTGGGGTCCCCATGATACAGATGTTATTTGATCAAGCTTCCCAAGGTACTCATACATTTACCCTTTTTAAAAATTTTTCCTCCATGTTGCACTGTGTGTTCTCTGACAATGTGCTTTTAAGCTTATTAATTCTCTCCATTACTTGAGTTTGTCTCAATAGTATTTTTTAATTCAGTTACAGTATTTCTTAGCTCTTTTACTTCTAATTTTAACTACCTGATATCTTCTTGATCTTCATCCTGTTCCTATGTTATAGCTCCCATTTTCTTTTTTTAGTTCCATAAACATTGTTTTAACAGTTACCTTGAACTCCTCTTCATTCATACTCTGCAGCTATGCTAGATTGACACTCTTCTTAGGACTTTTTTACTCCAGTGTTTGTGGTATAGTCTCTTTATTTCTATTTTTTATAAGCTGTAACGAGGTGATATTTTAATTGCTGCTTCTACACCTGCTGAAGTGATTCAAGAATTTGCAGCAGGAAGGAGTGACAGGCGGAAAGGAACTGTGACAGTAGGGCACCAAGGGATTATCTCCAGTGAGCATGAGAGATTCAAGCACCCTACTGTGCTGTGGATGCTGGAGCTGTATGGTAGGGAGCCAGTATGATCCCCTCCTGTATGTTAGCGCCTCCTTCTCAGTGTCTGATAGTCATGCAGCTTCTACCTTTAAGCTGTGTTTGAGCACTGAGCATGGATTGTAGTTGAGACGGGGTCATAGGCTTGGAGTTGTTCTCTTTTCTTTTCCAATACAAAGCCCTATCTGGGGTGTTCGCTCCTATTGCTAACAGGTGCTAAAACCTTGGTTTATGCAAGTGTTCATTTGTTGTCTTGGTTTTAGCTCTGAGGGGATAGGAGTGGCACATTTTTCAAATATCCCAACCTCAGACATCCCTGGTAGCCTAGGGGTTAAGTCTCAGCACTACCACTGTGAAAGCTCACAGCGTTGGCCTGAGTCTGATCCCTGGCCAGGGAGCTAACCCACAGAACTCTCCTGTCTCACCCATTGCTCCCTTAGCAGTGTTTTTCAGTAAATCTGCTGTTCTGCTCCCAACTCTGTCTCTGATGAATCCTCTCACCACCCCCACACCTTTGGCCTGCACCCCAGTTCTACACAAAAATAAATGAAATTTTAAAAACAAACAAACAAACAAATATCCCAACCTTAGTTTCAAGTAGAGGCCTGTTCTATGAGGAGACACAGGTAATCTGACTTGTTTCTCCCCACTGTTTGAAGCTACAGTTCTCCTACATTGACAAAATCAGTTTTAAGGCTGTAATCCTTGCTCTGCTCCATGATCCCAGTTTTTTGTAGAAAGGCACAAGCCACTACCGCCTCTGGACCATCCAGTGGCCTGGGACTGCTCTCCTGTTCCTCTTGTTTAAACTCTCTTCTCTCTACAAGCATATCCCACACTTACCTCTTTCTCAGAATAAATTCCTGGCCTGGAAGATATTTCCTCACTCCAGATGACTTCCCATCTTTCTTTAGATACTGATCTAACTGACTTCTCCCCAGATAGATCTTCTCCAAATAGTCTATTGACATTTACCTGCTAGTGCCCCCTCCCTGGGCATTGTTTAGCTCAATCCCTCTTAACTTCCTAATCACACTTACCACAGATGGTAATTATTTTTAACTGATCAGCTTAGTGCTTAAGGCTGGTCTTTCCTGCTGGGTTGCAAACACCAGGGGGTTTATACCTTTGTCATTTCTTGTCACTACTGTATCCCAAGGTCTTAGAACAGGATAGGTGCTTATTAAGTAGTTGCTGGATGAGTCAATGTATGAACGTTGGCAGTAAGAAGTTAGTTGAGGGCCAAGACTGCCCCTCTGTGGCGATGCTGGAGAACTGCAGCTCCCCAGTAGGACCCAGACACAGTCCCCGAGGCACATTCCCGTACCTGCCCGGGAACAATGTGACAGCGTCCCGTATACCATATTTTTTGTCTGGGAAGCTAGAGGGTCTAGCAGGTGCTCCACAAATGACAATGCTGCTGCTAGCAGGGCGTGTACCATATTCTCAGAGACTGGGAAATCCAGGAGAGAACAGCAAGGTCTTGTACTTGCCCCAGGATCTCACGTCTGGCTTCAAGGCCAGAGCCGAAGTAGCCCAAGGCCACAGGATAACAGAAAGGCACCTTCCTAAAACATTATCTTTGCACAATGAACCTTCTTTTAAACATCTTCAAATTGGAACAAGCCAAAGTATTATGCAGAGTGCACAGAATTTTTTTAAAAAAACATAAAAAAATAAAACTTCAAGTGTTTTTGGCTTCTCAAAGACCCTGCTCTCCAGGAGGTCAATGGGAGAGAAATCCAAGGCTTCTGAGTCTCTCTCAGCATCCCTCCTGCTTGACATCTTAGGACTTAGCTCACATTAACTGTGCTAAGGCACAGGCTAGGGGAAGGTTTTTGTCTCATTTGAACTGAAGTTAAAGCAAGGACCAAGGTCTCACCATGGGAAAGAAATTCTGGGGAATGGAGTCTAGACACTTGAAGAGGCTCTCCCTAAGAAGCTGGCTGACCCTCAGATCACTTCTCTACCATTCTCCGTACTAAGTGCAGTGCCTTTGGGCGGACACCTCCATTGACTCTCCACACCCTAGGAAAGGAAAGTGGGCTGAAAACGGCCCTTCTTGAAGGGGCTTCCTTACCTCCCTCTTGAGTGGGGCCACATAGGCCCAGGAGTTGGTGGCAGGGTCATAGCGCTCCACAGCATTCAAGTCATTGTGGTAGTCACGGCCTGCCACTGCATAGATGTACGTGCCCACGACACACACACAGAGATCTGCATGTTCCTGCTGCAGGGACTGGATCTGGAACCAGCGGTTGTGCCGTGGGTCATACCTTTTAAGAGGACACAAGGACAGCAAATCACTGACAGGTGAGAGAGCCCACCCAGCAGGCCCATATTCTCACTCCATCTGCCCCCACTCACCAGAATATGCCCACCTAGCACTCTGGAAGGCATGGCCAGGATCCTCTGGGGTTTCTATCTACAACTTTGGGCCCTTGCAGATATAACCTCTTGGGTGGCTTCTAGACTGCCTAACTATATACCCCAGGATGCCCCATTTCTGTGGCCACAGCATTTCATTCTCACCTGTCTCACCTTATGGTCCCATAGCCCCATCCCCATTCAGAAACTCCACATTATGAGAGCCTTGCTGGGTTGAGTCCTGGAAGGGTGGCACAGGGAAGGGAGGAGAGTCACTCTACTGACATTAGAGATACCTTCCTACACCTTTCACATCAGATACAGCTGTCCCCAAGTCACAGACTTGCCTTCTCCTGTCTCCCCAAGTGACAGCTTCACCCTGCTCAAGTGCCCCACTCATGCTGCCCACTGCCACAACCCTTCAGCTTGTCTACCTTTCTTCTGCTTTCAGAGGGCTTCACATTCTCAGTCCAGGTAACCTCAGTCATCCCACGACAGACTATCACCCCTCATCTTCTCCTGCACTTCAGACTCATGGCACAAATACCTGCCAGTCACCTCCAGCTGATTGTTCACCTATCCTGAATGGAACCTCAAGTTCCCTCTTTCAACCGGTCTCATCCTTGTTGGTGATCATACACCAGAATCCCAACGCCTTAACCAATACCCAAGGAATCTGCAGCCCAAATCCACACCCACCTTTCTAGCACTGAGTCCTGCCCCAGGCTTTCCCCACTTATGGGGGGAAGGGTGCTCCCTGCCCCTTCTCCCTTTCTCCATGTCCCAGGCCTGGTGCTCCGTTGGGCCCACAGGAGGCACACAGGCAGGTGTGCTGTTTGGGTTAACACAGATGATGGACCAGAACCCTGGGAGCTGGAGTCCATTTTTCCGTGACCTGTGGTGCCTTTTCCCCTCAGCATCCACCAGGCAGCAGTATCTGTGCTTCTGCTTCTGGAGCCTTCTTGCTCAACAGTCCATGTACAGGGATAGCCCCAAATAACTGCTTTTATTTCTCTACAGTAAGTGCAACACCAAAGAGAACAAGTGAAACTTCAACTGGCTAGAAAGAGAGTGAAGAAAATTCTCTTTGGCCTGGTTTGTATGCTGGTTGATGAAGAGGCTGGTTTCAACCCGTGCCCCAAAGCACAAGTTAGACATTCTATCACTGCTTATTCTATCATTTGGCCAGCCCCTCTATGCCAACCAGGAATGACAAGAAACAGAGTGCCTCAGGAGTTGGGGTCAAAAGGAGAAAAGAAGCATGCACCTGGTGACATGAACACCAGGTACTAGCTGGGGTGACCTTAGTAAGAGTTTTACTCTTAACATTCACTCAGTTTCTGCACTGAGTGGCAGTGATATCACCTGCCTAGAGAAGCTATCATGAGGGATCATAAGCGACAAGATCCTTGTTAACTTGAGGGACATTCATAAAAAACTGAGATTAATTTCCATATTCCTGGACCTCAGGATAGCTCCTGGCCCAGGGTAGATCACACTCTGTCTACCAAATGAAGTAAGCAAAGGAATAAAAGTGCTATTAGTGAAATCATTCATTCACCCTACAAATATTCACTGGCCATCTAACATGGATTAGGCACAGTGCTCAGTACTGGGAACTCAGAGGCCCTGCTTTCCATTGTAGAATGGGAAAAATTGCTAAAGAGAGCAGAGTACACACTCAAGTGCTCAACATAATGGCAGGTACCAGGAAGGGAAAAAGGAGAGAGTATGCTCTTCCCAGCGCAGAGCTCTCCTATGGAAACCAGTCAGTGCCTCCTGAGGAGAATGAGACTTGGGTAGCTGGGGAGCATACCAGGCAAGAGGTCTGGCTGGAGACAAACAGAACAGCCCTGGGCACCTCACTCACAAAAGCCCCATCAACTAGGTAAGAGGGTGCCACTGCCTTTCCTGTGCAAGATGCCTGTTCATGCCCATTTCTTGTGCCCTGTTTTCAGCCAAAAGCAATTCAGCATCTTCCCCCAGAGTAAGACAAGACACTCCAGATGGAGGGTCTTCTTCCCTCTGGTCTCCCGCCATCATAGCTTCTCAGGCTGAGTTCATTTGGATTTGTGGTTGTTTCACATTTAAGGAAAACAAACACATATGCACATACACATCTATACAGACAGCAAACATCAATAATTCAGACATAACCACAGGTTCACTGATTTCTTATCTCCCCCCATGTCCTGTATCCTATATTTTCCTCTATAATTTTCCACTTTGTCAGGTTAAATCCTCAAGTGTTTTATCCTTTTTTTTTTTTTTTATTTAAAGAGCAGGTTTATTAGGGAAAGGGGACAGAAGAATGAAGGACACTTGCATAGACACAAGCGGACAGGAAAAGCTGCCCCAAAAGGGACAGGTTTGCTGAGAGAGGCCTGCATGGTCACAGGCAGGCGGCCTTGGGGAGAGCTACCTCTGCTGCGGGAGATCAGTGAAGAGAAGTCCCAGCATGGTACAGGTCATGGGCAGGCAGGAAGGGTGCTGCCCTGCAGAGGGAGAGAGCTGGTGAAAAGAAGCACCTGCATAGTCACAGGTGGGCAGATGGAGTGCTGCTCAAGTGTTTTTTTCTAATAATATAAGATTTATGGGCCTCCCCGCTGGCGCAGTAGGTTGAACACAGCACTGTGAAGCTGTCCGCAGCTTCTGCAGCACGGGTTCAATTACCGGCCGGCCAAGGAGATGCCCACATGGCACGGCAGACCTCTCCTGTCACGCCTGCTGCTCCCCTCAGCAGTGCTTTTGGTCTGTCTGCCTGTTCTGCTCCCCACTCTGTCTCTGGTGAGTCCACTCACCCTCCGGCGCCTCTGGCCTGTACCCCAGCTATTGCATAAATAAATAAATAAACAAACAAACAAACAAATAAATAAATAAATAAAATTTAGTTACACATAAGGATATAAACAGTTTTTGCCACTTCTATGCAGATTTTGGATCATGCTATTGCAAACTCAGAAGCCAAGTCTAGAGTTGGAACAAAATGTTCTAGGATCCTTATTAAATTTAGTAAACTTGTTTTTCTGTATTTCGATCACTTAAGCATTCTCATGACTAATTTTTTTTTTTTTTTTTTGGTGGGACCCTTGCCAGTGAGGGCAGCCTCACAGCACAGCGCTCAACTGCTGCGCCACCAGGGGAGGCCCTCTCATGACTAATTTTAAAGTCCATTATAATTAAAACATTTTTTGAAATACACTTTAAAATATTAAGTCATGGAAGTGTCTCAGTTTGAGAGTTATTATTCTCAGTTGGATCAGGGCACAAGGCAATATGGAACCAGTCACTACCAGATAAGGGCAGTCAGTATTCAGGAGCCCATAGGATGATACTATAGAAAAGGAGCAAAGGGCTTACCTGGTGGCGCAGGGGTTAAAGACAGCACTATCAGGCTATCCCCAGCCACTGCAGCATGAGTTGGATCCCCAGCCGGCCAGGGAGCAACTCACATGGCGCAGCAGACCTCTCCTGTCTCGCCCACTGCCCCCCTCAGCAGTGTATTTCAGTGGATCTGCCTGTTCTGCTCCCCACTGTCTCTGGTGACTCCTCTGACTACCCCCAGCCCCGCACTTCTGGCTTACTAAACTCCAGTTCTTATATGCATAAATAAATAAATCTTTTTTTTAAAAAAAAAGAAAAAGAGCAATGGGGGCAATAGAAAGAGAAGAGAAACAGTGCTATCCTGGCAAATACAAGGCAAAAACAATTTCATCTACAGTTTATGTGCTAATGCTTTTTGATATACCCTAGTAAGTCCCTAACTCCCCACCAAAATACAAACCCTAATTTACTGCAAAATCTTGGTTTTTTGTTTTCTGAGACTCTACAGAGCCATGAGATGGGAAAGGGGAGAAAGAAACGTGACTATTAAACCATTTAAATGAAAATCCAAGTGACTGTAGAGATGACAGACCCCGAGGACCTCCCAGCCATGTCCCCCACACACTCTGTGGCCTGGCCCCTCAATGGGTACCTGTTCCTGCCAGGCAGCTCTCATCATCCTTACATGCCATTGCTTGAGGCTGTAGTTATTAATCACAGGTTTGATATTGACATTTCCCAGAGTTTAGCTTTGGTCTCATAGCACATGTTCACAAAAAGGAAATTTAGACCAGTCTTGAGTGGAATTGACTTCTATGACACATAGCAGGACAGACTGCAAGGGCACGCACCCGCCCCCCACTATCACCCCCAGAGACAGCCCACCATGTGCTGACTATCACTCTCTAAAGAGGTTTATTTACAGATCTATGGTGTGCTGTCAGCAGGGAGATCTGGCTTTGGCCTCCAACTGGGAAACTAAGTCCCCTACAAAAGCAGCTTTGAGACTTGGCCAGAGGGAATTCCAATGTGGTACTGCCACACCCACTGGGGACAGTTTCTGGTTAAGGAGCAAATGAAGGTGTATTTTCCTCCTTTCTAAACTGTCTATCCTTACATTTGACCACAACATGCAAAGCTTTGGGTCTCATTCTAGTTTAATAAAGGTGATCACTTCCTGGAGCCAGGAGGGTGGAGGTGGCTGAGAAATAGCCATCTCTTCCTCAGTCTGTCACTCCACTTGCTTCTAGGGACTATGGCCAGGTCAGACTCCACAGCAACCACACCCTAAAAGATGGTAACAGGAACATGAACACGGGTAGTGTCAACTCACAGCTGCCAGCAGCAGTTGCCAGTGCTGTTCTTCAGCTTTCAGGGGGCAGACACAATAAATCCCAAGAAAATCAGACCAAGGTACAGAAAAGGAGACCTTGGAATTTACCCTATTTCTCTTATTCTGCCTAAAGAAATGGATTTGTGAATCAGTCTCAAAGACCCACAGAAATATTATAGATCACAGCAATCCCTTTTGGAAAACTGCCTCCTCCAGAGACCACGTGCCCATCATACTACAGACAGCAGGGCTGGATAAGTGAGCGGACATTAGCTCTCTTATGAGACTCAGTGACATCTGTCAGCCTTTTGTTCTCCTGTAGACTAAGGGCGGTGCGTACAGTGGGAGCAGCAGCAACAAGAAGCCATCATCCACCACATACTTATGATTAGGAGTGCAGAGCAAAACAGACAGGCAAATGGAAGATGAGATGTGGGTGAGGCAGAAGGAGAGACCGCCCTGTCCAATCTTCCAGTGCCTACGTTTCCTCCTTCAAGGCCCAAGTGCCCTTCCTGCCTCAGGCTCCCCTCTCCTGTGCTTAGTCATGTGCAGTAATAACCCAGGCCCTCACCCACAAGGAGCAGAGTGTAATCCAGGGTGATGGATTTCTGAGAAGGAAACAAGAATGAAAGTATGCCAGGTCCCCTTTTCCTAGTGGCACTGCTAGCTGCATTCTCTGATAACTTTATTCCACAGAACAGATGTACCCCAACAGGCCACAAGATTAATTTACAAGGCTGACCACCTTGGCCTTGCAGAACTCACTCCCCTAACCAGCTCTCTGAGCTGACTCCTGCACCACAGGACCACCCACAGACGAAGGACCATGGGCCCTTTCCTACCTCCAGCATCGGGACTCAGCACGAAAGCCCTGGACATTGTTGTCCCCTCCGATTAGGTACACAAAGTTGTTGAGCACTGCAATCCCCTGGTTGGACATGCGCGGGGCCAGGGAGGCAGTGAAGTGTTTCCATTCTCCCAGCAGGGGGTTCAGGTACTTGGCCTGGTCACTGAGGACAGTGGACGGCGTGGAGTGAATGCCCCCAAAGCCCACGACGCACCGGAAGTCTGATCGCAGCTCTGTCTGTGGGCCCTGAAGACTAGGCTGCAGGCTCTCATTCTGGTGATACATGAGAGCGCTGGCCACTGTGTCCCTCAGTGGGCTGGGCTCTAGCTTGTCATGCAGCCGCTGGAGGACCTCAACTTCCATGAGCGGAAACCGCACTGTCTCAAGGAGCTTGGGTGGCTCATGCAGCGAGATCTGGTCAGCCTGTACCTGCTCCAGGGTATAATGGTAAAGCAAAGCGCCCTCATACACCTCAGTCTCACAGGAGACCTCCAGGCGGTTGCTGCTGAGGAGGGAGTAGACCTTCTCCAAGGGAAGCTGGCGGTACTTGTCAGTCCTAGAGAAGGCCACAAAGTTTTTGAGGATGTAGGTGTCTAGCTGCTCAGTCAGGCGGCTCAGGTCAAACAGCTCTGCCAGCCGGTAGACGTCAAGGATGTTCTCCTCATCCACCCAGGACATGAGGAAGTCACAGCAGAAATGAATAATTTCTGGAATCTGTGAAGAGAAAAATGACCCATTTACACCCGAGCTGGGGATAGTGTCTGGGTGTGGGAGACAGAGAATGACATTGGACACGTGGTTTATGTGGTCATCCACTGCAGTTGGCCCCCTTGGTTGTCCCCAACCTTTCCCAGGGCAGAGATCTGCCACAGCCTCTCCCCCAACACACTAAAGACAACGAAGGCTCACTGTAGACTATGTAGGCTTAAATCCCAGCTCAGTGATCTATAGCATGTTCTCACCTCTTGCTTCTGTTTCCTAATCTATAAATCAGGGATAAAGTGGAGAAGAATATGTTGAAACAGGAACTACCTGGCACAGAGCAACCCCCTGATATGTTAGCTGCCTTTCAGTTCAAACGTGTTGAACCTCTAGAGAAGCAGGAAGCAGCACAAAGGCCACTATGTTAGTTATTACTGGTTTGGAAGGTACCTGGGAGCCCAATTTGGAAGGTTACCACTTCCCAATTCTCTAGAAGAAAGCCTTTTCTCCTGCCACACTGGAGAACAGTCAAAGCTGTGGGCCCAGGAAACCCACGCCCTTCCCCAGGAGCAGGGCCTGAAACTGCCCCTGCCCTAAGAACTGTCAGCAAGGCTCACCCAGCACCCATCCTGGGACTATGACTCAGAGTCCTTGAAAAATAGGTAAACTGTCCTGCTTGGGCAGAGGGCCGCTCAACTTCAGTTAGTGTGGAGGCTCCCAGGCAGCCTACACTTTTCCTTTGCTAATCATGCAGAAGAACAGGTCGGTTAGAAGGAGAGCATGAAACAGAAAGGCATTTAGGTGGGAGCTGAGAATTAGGGCACAGCGCTCTAGGACACCTTTGGTTAGGTAACTGAGGTGGGGCAGAACAGGAAGGCAGAGGAAGGACTCAGGGAAAGCTGCCCAGATACTGCTAAGTTTTTTTAGGAAAACAGAATTTTAGGATTTCTCTAAAAACAGGAATATCTCACTTATCCAGCATCATCACCAAATTACACATAAGTAATCTGCTGGCATCTGCTAGCTTATTAATAAACATGTAAACTCTTTTTATTTCTATTTCGAGGAAGTTTAGTTCTTGTTAGTTGATTTGATATGCTAACACTGAGGAGGCAAGCCAAGTGTCAGGCAGGTGTTTGTCCCACATGGGATGTTCTCATAATGCTTTGTTAGGTCCTGAATATCTTTACTTGTTCATCTGTATTCTCCCTTAGCAGACATTTCTTCTTTGCTCTTTTGCCTAAATACTATGTCTGATTTGTTCTGGGCCAGGACACTGGAGACTAGATGCTGGGTACAAGGTGAATGCCCACACAACCCTAGGTGGGTCTAAGCAGTTCCATAAGAACCCTCTTGTCCCATCCTCACCAGCAGGGCAGGGTGTGCTCTGCCAGGTGGCCTATCAGAGAGATTACCCCAGAAATGCCCCCTGCAGGAATCCACTGAAAGGTTCAAAGAAGGGGACTCATTTTTGGGGAATGATCCAGTGCGGATGGCATCACTGGAATTCAGACCAGGTCTTTGGGGGCACCATGAAGAGTCTTACTCTGAGCCCAGTGCGGGGCACAGCGTGTGCAGAGCAAGCAGCAACAGTGATCTAGTGGGCCTACCAACTTAGAAGTTATGACAAGTAAAAACTGATTCAAAGACAACATTGCATTAAGGCCCAATACGTTAAAAACAAAACAAAACAGATCCTGACTGCTTGAGGTAAATTGGGGGCTCCCCCTCTTAGGCTGCCACAGCAATGGCCCTAGGCACTGTGGCTCTAAGGAGCATGGGCCAAGCCTTGCTAGGAGTGAGCACATTGCAGGTGGGGTAAGGAAAGTGGTATTTGGGAAGATGTTTTGGTGTTGGTGTGTGTGATGGATGCAGAGGAGGAGAAGGAGAAGGGATCAGATAAGAAGAAAAGGTGAGGACAAAGGTGAGGGGACAAGAACAGAGATAGCTACAGGTAATATTTACACAGACCACAAATCATACCCTGTTTGCCTGGAAACAGAGAACAAAGGTGGAAGGGCAGAAGGAGACATAGAGGCTCAGTACCTAGGGTGCTGGCAGAATGGTCATGGGAAACATAGCAAAGGGGATGGGGGAAGGGGCAAGAGAAGCAGACACCATGAGCCCTCTGACTAGAAGGGTCTGGGGGTAGTTGAATACAGGAGGTGAAGTGTTATAAGGCCAGGGAACTAGATGAGGGTTCCCAAAGCAGCAATGAGAGATACTTGGGGACCAAAGAGATCTCTGAATAAAAGAAAATCAACCCTCCTCTCCATCTTGCAAAATGGCAGGTGAAAAAGCTGGCTACTAAGGAGAAGAAATCTGAAGGAGACTGATGGCTGGTGGGAAGGTGAAGAAGGGTAATTCTAAGGCCAAAAAACACCACTGCAGCCAAACCTTTGTCTTAGAAAAACTGGCAGATATTCCTTATCTGCTATATATTTCAGAAAGTGGAAGTATTCAAGTGGAAGTATTCAGCAATTAAATCCAGAATTGAAAGAATAAGGTTCTTGGTACTTGTCACAAAACCAAATGCAGTAACCAGAGTGGTTCAACTTTGCAAAATGCCTACTGTCCTACTGAAGATGTGCCTCAAAAGCTGTTGAGTCACAGCAAAAGACCCTTCAGTTGGCATGTGAGAAGACTGCAGGCTAGTCTCACTCCTGGGACCACTCTGATCAGCCTCACTGGGTGCCACAGAGGTAGGAGGGTGATTCCTAGCAGCTGAGCAGTGATTTACTACTTGTGAATAGACCTCTGTCCATCAATTGAGTTCCCCTGTGTAGGACACACCAGAATTTTGTCATCACCACCTCAACCAAAATTGATACCAATTGTGTGAAAATATCAAAATATCTCACTGATGCTTACTGCAAGAAGCAGCAGCTGTGTAATCCCTGACACCAGAAAGGGGAGATCTGTGACACAGTAGGGGAAACCCAAGATTCCAGAGCAGGGCAAGGTAGATCAGAAAGCTGTGGACTCACAAATTCTGCCAAAATCAAAGCAGTTCCTCAGCTCCAGAGCTACCTCCACTCTGTGTCTGCACTCACAAACGGTATTAACTCACAAATTGGCGTTCTAAATTTCTTACAATGAGCCTAATAAGTGGTCCATAAGAAAAATAAAACTGATCACTCTGGCTAAACTCATATCTACCCACCACATAAGTACAGCATTTCGAGCCCTGCTCAAACCAACCCAAAGCTCACAGAGCAAGCACCACCCACATGCACACTGAGAGGGACAGGGCACAGCAAGGACGGTACCCACAGACACCCTGAATAGGTCGGTTTTCCTAAAATTTGCATTTTTCCTGATTCCTCAAACATGCTCTGATCTCAGAAAAGGTCAGGATAATGAACTCAGCCTACATTTTGCTTCATTTTCAAGAAATGTGGGCACAGATATCTCTCAACCCGGACCAGGATTCTCAATGACAGTTTCTAGGAGCAAAGATTTGTGCAGACCCAGTCCTGGGTAACACCACTGACACCATCAAGTCAACAGAACCTTCTAAAACATATGCCATATTGGCAAAGACACAAAACTTTTCAAATTCTGTAGGAAACCAGTATTGAAAATTCAATGATCAAAGGGAAAGTAGTTTTAGTAATCAATGAAGCAAAGTGCAGAGGACAGGCCAAAAGGAGCTGGTGGCCATGTTGGAAAAACTCACATTACATGCCCAGTCCAGGGTGCTTGTTTCCTTAATCTTTTCAGGGGCTTGGAGATCCAGCAGAAGGAAAGGAATGAGCAGAATAGCAGAGGGCAAAGGCAGAGGGGTCACCTGGGTCAGAAGACCATCAGAGCAGCTCCACTTTAGTGCCCAGGGATGGCATTACTCCACTCCACTCTCTTCTGCTGCCTGAAGTCCTTGCCTGCCCAACTGACACCCATGACATTACCCAGTGGGCATCTGAAGAAAACCTGTTCTGCCTTGAACAAACAGGGAAGACTCACCTGAAGCTGGCAGGCAGCTACCAGCGTCTCCTGGACATTGCTCAGGCTGAGCTCTAGTTCAGAGGTGTATATGAAATGCAGGATTTGGCACATAGCATTATAGGATACGCCATGGATCAGGACCTCTTCCTGCTCCATCTCCTTCAGTCCCCCAGCAAACATTCCTCTGCAAAGCAAAGATAAAACAATGGAGTTATACCAGTTGGGACACCAGCCCAGGCTGAAAAGAGGAGAGTATCCAAGAGGGGAGAGGGTGATGTGGTAAATGGTGTGCCCTAACCGTTGAGTCACACTACAGAAGACACCTGAAGCTCTTTGCCAGGTTTGGGCAGTCATCCTAGAAATCACCCTGTTCTATTTCAGATGGATAACCACCATTCTGCTTTCTCACTCAGTAGCCTCCTGCGGTGTGGACCATGTTCAGCTGGCTTTCTGCTACATGCACTACTAGTCCTACTGGATTACAGCATCAGCTTGGAGCATGTTATAAATGACTAAAATGTAATAAAATCATACAAGCCATTCCATTCAACATACACTTACTGAGTGCCCATGAAGCAACATTCAAAGAACAGGAAAAACAGTGAAGCAAAGTGACAAGACTGCTATGGATACCATGTTTAATGCTAAGGAGGGTGACAATAAAGAAACCAGGTATTTCAGATTGAAGAAATGCTAGGAAGGAGCAACAGGATCTATGAGTCAGGAGTGCTGGCTGGGAGAAGGGGACAGGTAGATGAGGGCAGGCACAGGGCTCCTCTGAGAAAGTGAGATGGGTACAAGGCCAGCCAGGGCATGGCATTCCAGGTGGAAGAGAGGGATGCCCAAGTCCTGAGACAAGAAGGAGGGTGGCACACAAGGCAGTCAGGGCAAGGAGAAAATTGATTGGAAAGTGAGTCAGGCCCAGATCTTGCTATCCCCAGGGTATGATAAAGTCTGGACTAAGACCCACACATAGTGACATGGGATTGGGGAATTTTTCAGACTTGGGTGCCCACTGGCCAGAGTAGAGGGGCTGGAGGTCCAGGGAGGCCCACCTGGCTGGAGAACTGCAGTTGAGACTACCCTGGGTTACGGCGGAGAGAACGTACTCTTGGGGTCATGGTACAATGGCTGGGCAGAATTGAAACAGGTTTAGCCAGGGTGGTGGGAGTCCTATTCCGAAGCCATGAGATGCCCAACACATTCCAGCAGAGATGATAATTAGGCGTTCAGAGGGAAAAGGCTGGTGGTCAATACAGTCATCAAGGCTGAAATATGACAACAGCACAGAGATAATAAAGTGGCTCCTTTTATGTAATTCACACACATATACATGTACCATGGTATATTTCCCTCCCCAGGAGGCACTGTCCCCACAGGCATTCTAGCCACCTCATTATGTATCACGTTTTGACTTAACACACATGGAAATGACTCCCTATTGGTAAACAGGGTTGTCCCTCTCTGTAAAGGATGTCATAACTAATTTAACCTGCTTCTATTGGGTTACATTTGGATTACTTCTGAGTGCCTATTATTTTACCCTGTGAAATAATGGCCCATGACATTTTGCTCATGTGCATCCCAGAATTAGTTCCCATGAAAGCAAATACCTTGTTTCTTTATTATCATCCTCTCTGTCATTATACATGGTATACATAGTAGTCTTGTCACTTGCTTCACTGTTACTCCTTCTGCTCTTTGAATGGTACTTAGTGGGCACTCAGTAAGTATATGCTGAATATAATGGCTTTCATGATTTTATTACTTTTTATTCACTACATGCATTTACACCTTGATAAAGTATTGACCAAAGTTCATGTGCCATCATTCCCAAGAGGGGCCAAGAGGCTGGTCTTATCATGAGATGATACCAGGTCCAACTTCTAGGGAAATAGGGAGAAACCTTAAGCCAGACAAAAGTGCTGTCAAAAGTCAAAAGTCATTTCTATACTCCTTTCTTAATCATTCAGAATTTTTCCCATTTACTATTAGACCTGCTTGGTATTGTCAATTTGAAGAAATCTGCTCTTTTTAAAAATGAGTTCAATTTCTCTTAGCAATCTCGAATTGTTGGATTTTATGACACTTTCTGCCATGAAGAAGTTTATCTGTTTTGAATGAGAACTTATTTTCTTTTCCTTTTTAAAGATTTATTTATTTATGCACACAAGCGCTGGGGTGTAGGCCAGAGGTACGGTGTGTGTGTGTGTGTGTGTGTGTGTGTGTGTGTGTGTGTGTGTGTGTGTGTGTGTGAGAGGATTCATCAGAGACAGAGTGGGGCACAGAACAGGCAGATCTACTGAAATACACTCCTGAGGGGAGCAGCGGTTGAGTCATGAGAGGTCTGCTGCGCCACATGGGTTAGCTCCCTGGACCGGGATCTAACTCACATTGAAGTGGCTGCCCTGAAGTGGCTGCCGACAGCTTCAGAGTGCTGAGACTTAACCCCCTGCACCACCAAGGAGGCCCCTAGCTTTCTGTTTTTCATGTACTCGTTCACATTTAAAATTGTTGATCCAGGCAGCTTTCCTGCCTGCATGTGATTATGCAGGTGCCTCTTTTTCTTTCTCTTTTCATAATAAACACGCCCTTTTAAAATGTAAATAAAGAGGCCTCCTGGTGGTGCAGGGGTTAAAGACACAGAGCTATCAAGTTATGGCCAGCCATTGTAGCACAAGTTAGTTCCCAGGCTGGCCAGGGAGCTAACCCACACGGTGCAGCAGACCTCTCCTGTCTCACCCGGCTGCTCCCCTCAGCAGTGTATTTCAGTATATCTACCTGTTCTTCTCCCCACTCTTGTCTCTAGTGAATCCTCTCACCCTCCCCCACCCCTGAAACCTCCGGCCTACACCCCAGTTTTTGTATGTATAAATAAATAAATCTTCAAAAAATGTAAATAAATAAAACACAAAATAAAATTGATGATCCACCTAAATTAATTTTGGTACAAAGTAAGAAGCAAGGGTTCAATTTTGTTTTCCTAGATGGCGACCCTGCTGTCACATCCCCAACTTGTGACCTTGTCTTTATTACACACAAACTTCCTTAAAGACTTGTGTCTGTTTCCAAACTCCCTATCCTATGCCAATAATCCTTCCATCTCCACTCACCAGAAGCAGTCTCAATGCTGCAGTGTCTGAGATCTTATTAATATAGAGTAAGGCTGGTCTTTCGTTACCTTTGTTTTCAACACTTTCCTGGTTGTTGCTTATTTTTTTAAATTGTGAACTTTGGTTTGTGTAATTCCTTCTGATAAACCACCTTGGCATTTTTATTGGGAATGCACTAAACAAGTGCAGAGATGTGGAGAGAACCAGCATTTCTGTAATGGGCACAGTGGGCTTGTCTATTACGGCAGCATCTGGGTCTTTCTGGAGATTTAGCAGGTCATCTCCACACAGATCTGGCACATGTACATTCTGTTTCTCCCTATACACTTTCTCCACATGCAGACCCTTGGGGCACTTTCCCAGGCTCTATACTTAATATGCACTCTTTTGGAGTGGTCTGGCAGGTTCTCTCAGATTTCCCAGGATTGGCTATTTCAGGCCTGGCCCTCCAGGAACATACTGACCACAGTGAGGATCTCGATACTGGGGCACTGCCTCCAGCAGGGTGCAGGCATGTGTGCTGACTCAGACCTATTTTACCATTTGATGACAGGTTCCCAGCAATGTGTGGACCTTGACTGGATCCTGAATAGAGGGGGGAGGGAGCAGAATTAAGATATTTTGGGGACAACAGGGAAAATGTGGATATGGAGTCACTATCAAATGAAGTTAAATTATAAATTTTCTTAGATTTGTAATTTATAATTACAGATTATAAATTATAATATTATAGATGTCAGAGAGCTTCCTTATTCTTAGAGGCGCAAAGTATTTTAAGATGAACTGTTACATCTGCAACTTACTCTGAAGAGAAAATGGGAAAATATCAGTAATTGATAAATCTAGGTGAAGGGCATAGGTGTTGAAGGTACCTATTTTCCAACTTTTCTGGAGGATTGATATCTTCTCAAAAAAGGAACTGAGAGTATAAAAAGGCCAAAGAAAAAGAACATATCCACTCCTCTGTGTTGTGTTCACCCAACAGTATATGTCTAATCCTTTATCATAATCTTACCGCCTTTCTGTTAACTCTGAATAACATCAAAATAAAAACTTAAAAGGGAAAAAAATGGAAATACCCACATCTTACAACCATTAGGATTGCCAGTATCAAAAAGCAGAAAATAACAAGTATTGGGAAGGATGGGGAGGAATTGAAAAGGAATGTAAAATGATGCCATCACTACAGAAAACAGTATGGTGGTTTCTGAAAAAAGAATTAAAGAGTTATCAAATGATTCAGCAATCCCACTTCTAGGTATATACCCAAAAGAATTAAAAGGATCTTGACATTTGTATACTTGAGCTCTTAGCAGCAATATTCACTACAGCCAAGATGTAAAAAAAACCCAGTGTCCACTGATGGATGAACAGATACTCAAAATAAGGTATATTCATTCAATGGAATACTGTTCAGCCTTCAAAAGGAAATTCGTTACATGCTTTGCATGGATGAACCTCAAGGATAAGTGAAGACAGTAACAAAAGGAAAAATGTTATCTGCTTCCACTTATACTGAAGTTCCTAAAGTAGTCACATTCATGGAACAGAAAGTAGGATGGTGGATATGCAGGCCTGGAAGATGAAGAAATGGGGTGTTGTTAATGGGTTCAAAGTTTGTTCTGAAAGAGAAAAAACTGCTAGAGGTTGGATGTACAACAATGTGACTATACTTAATACCTATCTGTTCACTTAAAAATGGTTAAGATGATAAACTTTACATGATGTTTCTTTTAAAATCACACAAACACACACACACACACAGATAGAGAGAGAGAGAGAGAGATAGAGAGATTGTTCACCAGGCAGCAGGGGACTGTGCAAATAACTAGAAGGCACAGGATAACATAGAATATTCTGCAGTATGATGAGGTCAAAAGTCACCTCTACCAGAATATTAGACCCAGAACGGTAAAAGGTGCCAATGAGCTGCCCCAGATTTAAAGTATGTGTGTTGGGGGAAAGGGGAGATCATCCTGTGCCATCTTGGTTCAGGCCTCTAATAACTCATCCAAACTCTAAAACCAGGCATACTTCAAAATTTAGAAGATTTCAACTGGGGAAACACGTACCCAAGCCATGTATGATGTCACACTCTTGTGAGATCTGAGTCAGTAGCTCATACCCAAACACATCAATATTTCCTTTTCTCGTTTTTTTAAGATTTATTTATTTATTTACACAAGCACCGGGTACAGGCAGAAGGGAGGAAGGGTGAGAGAATTCACCACAGCCAGAGTGGGGAACAGAATAGGCAGACCAACGAAATACACTGCTGAGGGGAGCAGGGGGCAAAGCCGGAGAGGTCTGTGGCGCCACGTGGGACCCTCGCTGGCGGCTGGGGATCTAACCGAGGCTGCAGGCAGCTTCGCAGTCCAGCACTCAACCGCTGCGCCACCAGGGGAGGCCCCACTTCAATATTTCCAAAGCAAAAGGTATAAAGAGGGGCCTCCTGGTGATGCAAGGGGTTAAGCACCGCACTATGAAGGAATCCACAGCCTCTGCAGCATGAGTTTGATCCCCGGCCAGGGAGAAACCCGAATGGCACAGCAGACCTCTACTGTCTCACCCGCTGCTCCCCTCAGCAGTGTATTTCAGTCAATCTGTTTGTTCTGCTTTCCACTGTCTCTGGTGGAACCTCTCACCCCCTGCATCTCTGGCCTGTACCCCAGCTCTTGTATGCATAAATAAATCTTAAAAAAAATTTTTAAAAAGGTATAAAGAAGTAGAGAGTAGGATAAAAATATAATTAACCTCTTATCAGTTCAGAATAGGTTTTGTGGTTTAATGAATTTGTGCCAAACTTATAAAAAAGAATTAAAAAATGGCAACATTAGGAGAACTCAGTTCTTCCTTCCCCTACAAAGGTCAAGGGTTGGACAGCTATTCACGAGTAAAAACATCTTTTGAAAAGCCCTAACGTACACTTAGGAAGTTTTAGCAACAAAGTGGAAATAACAACTTTCAATTTCAGAGCATTTGGGGTTTCGATTTTTTTGACCCTCTCAAAAAGTGATTTAGCTTCAGAAATAGACGCTGACTGTGTCTGTAGATAGTTATAAGCTAGCTTACCTTTGATTGATTGAGGTCTCTTATTATAAGTAAGAGTCTCTAATGTGGAACTAGCTTCAGTTTCAGGAACAAGTCCACCTGGACCAGGATCTACTGCTCTGGACTTCCATTAGGTATGGTGGAGCCCCGTGTGCCGAGTCTTACTGAGGATCTTCACACTGTCATTCGCAAACAATACGTAGTTTCCTCCTGTGTACAGCTGTCTACATTTTTATATCAAAGTTATGTAAACCTCATAAATATATTTGGAAACATCCTTTTTCTGCTCTGGAAAAATTTAGATGGCAATGGAGTCGGTTTCTAAAAGGCACAACTCCCCCAGACACATCTGGGCTAAGTACTCTTATGAGTATATAACTTTTTCTTGAGAGTAAGGTTCTATTAATTTATATTTTCTTAAAAATCATCAATTTTATCCTAATTTTCAAAATCACAGGCACTGAGTTAAGTAAAGCTGTCTATCTTACAATTCACAGACGTTAAAATTAAGGGAGACATGAGATGACACATATCACAGTACCGTGTTGTTCAGCTTCTGGCATGTCATCCCACACGACAGAAAACGAGACATCCACTGCAGCATCCAGGCTGTTGGCCACCCACCCAAAGCCCTCTCTCTACTCTTGCCCACATCAGACATTACACATCCTTCACGTTTTCACCAGTCTTCTTGTCCTGTACCATTTGTTCTAAATCAAAATGAGTGAAACAAATAATAAACATGCTAATGCGTGGGAATGATATAGTTTATGTATCTATCTGAGATGAGTCTGGATTCTCCCAATGTCATTGTCACACACACCCCTTCCCATTTCCAGTGGAAAAGGGGGTGTCAACATGTATGATGACCTCTCCCATGAGAGGCCTCCCTGAGGGTAGCTATGCAAGAGCTAGGAATCACGCCAGGAGGAGGTGGAAACACACAGGTTTTCAATGAACGAGGGAAAGGTGGTGTATGTATCTGTCCTTTGAGAAGAGTGCTGTGGCCATGATACTCAGGATGGCCCACACATGGAGAACAGCCCCAGCCTGAAGGGCTGCAAGTGTGTGTCAAGGAGGTTGCTCTCGTCCTAGAACCCCATCAGCCTCTCCCACACAGGCCCTGAGCTGGCCACCCCCAGGCCAGGAGGGCTGCAGGGCAAGGCCATCTAGGCTCAGGTCCTCCATGCAGTGGCTCTCAGAAACCCAACACTGCCCTCTGTTCTGTGTATTATCTCAAAGCTAAGTAACAGCTTCAGCTGAACCCCCAATGAACTAATGGCTTACTGCTATCCCTGGACATGTCTGCCCCAAGAAACCACTGAGTCATAATCTCCAAAAATTTCTTCTGGAAAACAGGAGGTACTTAAACCATAAAGAACTATCTTGTTTGATAGCACCTAAAACCAAAAAATGAGAACCACAAGCAAGCAATGAAGATAAAACAATCAGAGCTGGAAAGGAAGGACCGTGTCTTTGTGTCGCATGCAGCACCCATTGGTTGGCCAAGGGTAGATCTCTCTCCCTCTGAATCTCATCTCATCTGTATGAAGTGAGGGGAGTGGTGCCAATTCTTCCCAGTGTACTAAGGGCTGGAATGGAGTCTTGCAGGAGGCCATGAGAAACCTAGGTGGGGCCACAGAACTCAAGGAGGGTCAGATCTAAGACCTCAGGAATGAGAAGGTATGAGCCAGACAGCTAACAGACAGGAAGGATGGCACAGAAGTGGTGACTCTCCATAACATGTGGCTGTGTGAATGATGCATATGCAGAACTTATGAACCAGCCTCACCTTCCATAATCATAAGGTACCAAAGGTCCTCAGAAGTGACCAGGGCTCATGTGGGCTCCCAGCCAGCATTACAAAAACACGTGAGGTAGGGGAATTGGCACAGCAAGACTAAGGTATAAGGTGTCATGGTGTTTTAAAAAAAGGTGTATATGTATAGAGGGAAAGCAAGTATGACAAAATGCTAACAACTGGTATTCAGGTGTAATATTATTCTTTTCCATAGATTTGAAGTTTTAAAAATGTAATGCTGGGAGGGCCTCCCTGGTGGCGCAAGGGGTTAAGTCGCAGGACTGTGAAGCTGTCCACAGCAACTGCAGCATGAGTTTGATCCCCAGCCAGGGAGGTAACCCACATGGTACAGCAGACCTCTCCTGACTTTCCCGCTGCTCCCCTCAGCAGTGTATTTCAGTAGATCTGCCTGTTCTGCTCCCCACTCTGTCTCTGGTGAATCCTCTCACCCCCTATACTTCTGCCCTGTACCCCAGTTCGTGTATGCATAAATAAATCAATCTTTAAAAAAATGTAATTCTGGGAAAATGTTTCCTACTAAGACACTGTACTTAGAGCAAAAAATTCATTTTATAAAGTATGATATTAAAAATCCAGCATACCATCTTCAAAAATAAAAGAGAACATGCCCTAGACACAAGAAGGCTGAAAGAAAAACCAACTCTTAAGACCTTTTTTCACTCCCTGTTGAGTTATCACAAGGAGCCGGGGAGAAGCTCTGAGTGAGGTGAAGCTGGGAGCTTCTGACTGGCCCTTTTAGCCCCTCCAGTGGCTATCTGTACATCTACCCAGTGAAGCCAGCATTACATGTATTATTTCGCTTAGAGACCGGGGATAGGTCACTCACCTGAAGTAATCGCAGGACGCAGCTAGTAGGATGCGGTGGGCCTCAATGTGTCTCCCCTCCACCACCAGAACAACATCAAAGAGGATGCCGCTGTCCCGGAGAGCCAGCAATCCCCGGAGTAAAGCCTGGGAATGCTGCGTGCTCCGATAGGTGTTGTTGACACAGTGAGGATGTGAGGGCTGCACAGGCACCTTGCCCAGCTGGGTGAACTCCTGCTCCTCAGCCATCCTGACCACCACACCAGACCTCACCAGTGAGGCCGTCAGCTGGCAAGACAGAGAGGACAGCAAATGAGGAAGGGTGGCAGTACCACAAAGTGCCAGTCCTGATTCCAGGAGGACCTGCTGCTCACAGGTCCTGCTCCTCCCTCCAGTTCACCTGTGCTTTTCCTGTTGTCTCTAACCCTCTCCCCTCCCACTGCTCATCCAAAGTTGCCTTCTTCATGATGACCTGTGTGTCCTTTCATCGCTAAGATTCTTCACCCTCTATTAATTAACTCCTTCAGCTTTGCTGTGAAACAGAAGGGCCTTGAAGACAGACCAACCTTGGCTGGAGCACCTATCCCACCATGATTCCTGCATCACCAACCTGCATCTCAGGTTCCTCAACTGAAGAAAAAGGGAAACAAAAGCAGCCAATCCGATGGGGAAATTAAAATTGGTCAACAATGAACATAAAGTACCAGCACAAACCAGCTTCTCAAGAGCTCTCCTCTCTGAGGAAGAACCAGGTTCCCCACAGGAATGGATGCATAAAAATGATAAGGCCTGACTGAGCAGTGGTCAGGAGACAACACTGTAAGGCAGTGGGATGGGAATTCTAGGACCTGCCTTCCTTTACCCAGAACCTCAGAGTTAAGCATGGTAATTTTAGGACTTGATGCACTGGAGATCACCTGCATTGTGTTTTACATTCAAGGTAAAATAAATACATAAATACATAAATAAATACATATGGCATTACCTTCTAATAACTAAGTTCAAAAATGCACACTAAATTGAGTAGGCGCTTCAGAAACCCAAGCAGTAAACCAAATTTATGCAAACACTTTGACCACAAACCTGTATCCCACTGGAAGCAAACATGGACAGCAGGCTGCTGCTGCTGCTGCTGCTATGGGTCGGGGTGGCCAGGACGGCACTGCCAGCCAGTACATGGAGCTAGGCATCAAGAGCCTTCTCAACTACAGTTACTCCAGCATTTACTTCCCCAAGTTTGTGGCTTTTCCAATTTCCTACTGTATCTTTTAAAGAGAAAATGGAAAGTAGTCTACTACGAAACTGCCAAAAAGGACTCCCTTCTCACTACCACTTCCTATGCTTCCTCCTCTCCAGGGCCCTGCTTGCTCTGGACAATCCAAGGCTTCCTATCAGACATGTTCACTTCTCCTCTGTGTTGTAACTTCAGTCTGTCTCCTGGCCTTAGGACCTCCACCCACTCACCCACCTGTTATTCCTCAACCTGGACTGGCTCCTGCTTTCTTACTAAGCCTACAAGCTAAGGCACATCTCCTCACCCCTTGCCAGTAAACTCTGCCCCAAGGCAATGACCTCTTTTTTGACACACCTTGCCCCAGGTCACCCGTTTCCCAAGAGACTACCTTGCTATCCCAAGCGCACCTCCAGTTTGATGCCAAATCAAGCCAGCAACCCTCCCAATTAATATGATTTTGTTACGTATATAGGCACCATTTCCTTACCAGAAACCCATGGGCCCTCCCCGGTGGCACAGCGGTTGAGCGCTGGGTTGCGAAGCTGCCCGCAGCTTGTATAAATAAATAAATAAATAAATAAATAAATAAATCTTTAAAAAAAAAAAAAAAAGAGTCCTTCTCCTCTCCTGTCTCAGGTAGCCATCCCTTATTCCTCCAAGGCCACCACTCTGGGTCAGATCGCAGCAATGATGCTCTAATTGGTTTCCCATCTCTTAAAGAGATGGCTCTCCAGGATCTCCCAGGCTCTCCTGCCCAGGCTGTATGGAGTCCCTAAAGGCCCCTAGACTTGGCTCAGATACTCATTCCCTTATACTGTCACTAGTCCTTATACCAAAAAGTATATCTGTCCTCTCTAAACAACTGGGCCTTTTCATCTCTTATTAATCCCAGTGTTGGTTAAGATCTAGTTCAATCTCTTCTCTCCCCCATCACTTCACCAAGTACAAGACAGGCTTGCTCCACCACCGATGTTGTCCTATGTACCCAACACAGGAGACTGTGGCTCCTTGAGGGGTAGGGCTTACCTGACACACACACCTCAGCCCCACGGCCCTTTGCATAACTTGCTAATCACAGAACTCTGGGGGACTTAACTCCTATTGCCAAGTCACAGTACAAGTAGAGTACAACAGGAAGACCACCTCCTTGGATGGGCAGAGCAAATTTGTCCAACACAATTTAAGGAACTAAGCAAGGTGTGAAGAAAAATGAACTGATTTCCTGCTCTGAAGGAGCACAACTCATAGTGTAACACATTCAAGACCACATATCACAGGGCCTCCCTGGTGGCGCAGGGGTTAAAGTCTCAGTGCTCTCAAGCTATCGCCAGCCACTGTGGCAAGAGTTAGATCCCTGGTCAGGGAGCTGACCCACATGGCACAGCAGACCTCTCCTGTCTTGCCCGCTGCTCCCCTCAGCAGTATATTTCAGTAGATCCACCTGTTCTGCTACCCACTCTGTCTCTGGTGAATCCTCTCACCTCTCACACCTCTGACCTACATCCCAGTTCTTGTATGCACAAATAAATAAATCTTAAACACACACACACACACCACATCACGGCCTTATTCATAAAGCAAGCACTAGCTAGAGCTCTAATGCCTATCCTTGGGAAAGGTGTTGCAGCACTATGACTCAACAGAACACCAGACAACAGCTAAATGAAAAACTAGAATTTAACTAGTTATGAACTTGTAGAGATCTCAAAGCCACATGGAGAAAGAATAGCATATTGCATAATCCACACAGTAGAATTTCATTTACAAAATATATGTAAACACACAAAACAATATTGCTTAATATTGCTTACTCATAGTTGTTATGGTATAATAGACACATGTCATAGGAATTCAGTGTCATATTATCTTCTGGAAGGAAAATTAGGATGTTTATTTGTTAAAAAAAATCAAGCAAAAAAAAAAAAAGAAGACAGGGGCTTCCCTGGTGGCACCAAGGGGTTAAGACAGCACTATGAAGCTATCCACAGCCACTGCAGCATGAGTTTGATCCCCGGCCAGGAAGGTGACCCACATGGCGCAGCAGACCTCTCCTGTCTCACCCACTGCTCCCCTCAGCAGTGTCTTCTGTCCGTCTGCCTGTTCTGCTACCCCCTCTGTCTCTGGTGAATCCTCTCAACCCCCTCATCTCTGGCCTGCACCTCTGCTCTTGTATGCATAAATAAATACATCTAAAAAAAAAAAAAAAAGACAAAACATTAGGATCTCTAAGAGATAGTAAGTTATTATCTATATTTCTCTGTAAGTGTGGAATATGTAATAGATTCTCAAACTTACTTTTGAATAGGTAATAGTCACAGGATTCAATTCAAAAGGCACAGGAAGGTATATTATAAATTTAAATTTCCCTCTAATCTGTGTTCTGAACAGATCTTCTTTCAGAGGAAACTATCACCTGCCCCTTCCCCTTTACACCCTTATAGGTGGCATCTATGGATTCACAGGCAAATCTGTACATCTACAACATTTCTCTCCTTTTATTAGCTTTTGCAAGACAACTTAATATCCCTCCCACAGTTCACTGTTTGGTTAACCACATTTTTATTTAATCAGTACTTTTCAGAGAGACACCTGGGTTTCCTCCATGTTTCCCATTGCAAACAGTTTCGTACTGAAAATCATTTTGATGTGCCATACATGCAACAGTTATGAGAAAAATGTATTTGATACAGAATTGCTGGGTCATGTTAATTTTAATCTGCATTTTTCATTTTAGTTGATTTGCCAAATTGCTCTCCACAGAGGTTGTTCCAATTAATCTTCCACCAGAAAAGTATGTGAATGTAATTCCAACTACTGACTAGCTCACCAAGTGTTTTTTAATCGCTGCTGACTTAGATGAAAAACAGCATTTCACAGTGTAACCACATTTTTGTAATTGACAATAGTTCAAAAAATAGAAAATCAGGTGGAACGTAGGACATCCTTTGTGTTTTCCTTTCCATGGCTGTCTTTCTGAAAGAAATGTTCTCACTCAGCGGGCGCCCTCATCCACCGATTAATTTTACTGGTGCTACTCTATCCTGAAGTCACTTCCAGCATTAAGTTCCATCAGGTCTCATAATATTCCCCATTCTAATTATCAAAAGCAAGGCCACTCCATTCTGACTGATTAAAGCTTTCCATAGAGGAAAGCAGGACGGAAGCTTTATGTCTCAAGAAGGTACAAATTGAACGACATAAAATTAATTTTTGTAAATTTATGGATGATAGAGTCAAAAGCATTTTAGAATTTTCAATTCAACAACATTTACTGAGTAGATCCTCAGGTCGCCGTAGGACCCTAAAACAGAATCTGTCCCCAACGAACCCCAAATTCACGGCAGCACGAAGCAAAGTATGCAACAAAGGCTAAGTGGACTGCTAAGGAAGAGGAGAGGGTGCTCATTTCCAGAGAAGGGACACTGCACAGGGGTGCTGATTCGAATGAGCTCCGGGCCCACCGAGGCTAGGAGCAGAGCCGGGGCAGAAAGCGCAGGCTGCCCCGCCACTCCAGCCTGCCCAGAATTAGAAAAAGTCTGAATGGGCGGCCTTTGCGACCCAAAGGTTTTGCACTGACAGAGTGAAGTCTGGCTTTCCTCAGGAAACCGGGTAAGCTGGCGAGACTAGGATTCCTCGGCTGCAGTCCTCGGCCTTGGTGCGCGGCTCAGTAAACTGAGGCTCGGCTGACCGAAGTCCAAAGGTCGCACCAGGTGGCATCCGCCCGCCTGTTGCAGGACCGTCCCCTGCCCCCCGCCCCCCAACACACACACGCCGCGCAGAGCGGAGGGTCGCGTCCGGGAAGGCCGCGCTCGGTGACCCGCCTCAGGTGACAGAGCAGGGGGCCCCTCAAGCGCGCGGAAACCCCGGAACCCGAGAGCATCAGCTCCCGCCCAGCTGCACCCAGGGGTCCCGCCCGCCGCGCCCCAGCCACGTCAGGCCGCGAGCTCCGCTCAAGCCGCCGCCCCGGCAACTGCGGCCCGCTCCCGCGTCCCCCGCGCGGCTCGTCCCGACCGGCGGGCGCTCGCCTCCAGCCGCACGCCGCCCGCGCTCGCAGCCAACCTGCCCGCCCCGCCCGCGCCTCGCAGCTCACCTGGTGTCGCCGCAAGCCGAGGCCGCACTAGCTGGAGGCGGGGCGGGGCCTCGGGCACGTCACGTGGCCACACTGCGCAGGCGCGCGCGGGCGCGGACGGAGGCCCGGGAGCGCCGGCCTGGGGGCGCCACATTGGGGGCCGCCGGGGGAGGCGCCGCCTGCGGCCGCCCTGCTGTGGAATCGCTCTTGCGGATGTTTCTGCGGAGAAGGGCCCTGACAGTCGAGGGGCGGCGCCTCTCCGCACCTGGCGCACTCCTGGCGGAGCCGGACGGATGACGGAGTAAATAAACGAGGGACTACGTGTTGGAGAGGGCGGCACCCTGTGAATCCACTTACTCCCTCTGCGCCCTCTTCACTCCGGCGTTCCTCCCTCATCCACCCGTTCTCGCCTCCGCTCCCACCCGCCCACTCGCGTGTCCTTCCGTCCCTGCCGCCTTCATGCCCCTCCTCGGTCCCTCCGCCACTCACCCACTTCCGCCCGCCTCACTCCCCCTCTCAGGCGCCTGGGTGAGAAGCGACGGAAGGGGCGAGGCGACACTCTTCTGCGTCTGTTAGATTTCTGAGACCGTCCCGTCCACCCAGACTGCGGCGTCACTTCATTCCCTCTGTCACTCCTTTGTTCATCCCCTCCCTGTCTTCTTCCCTCATTGCCTCCCACCCTTTGGTCCAAATAGCCTGCTCTGCCTCTGCGGCTGCCTGCCCTCTGCTGGACTTTGGGGAACTTGGTAAACACAGTCAGTGTGAACAGGTGTCTGTTTTCCTGTTTACTGAGAGAAGGTCCGATTCCTAACCCAAAGGCCTGGCTTCAGCAATGCAGAAGGAGGCTCTTGGCATTCATTTTTCTCCACCCCACCTCCGAAAGGGTTCCACCCTCTGAGGCTCATCTCTAAAAGTGCATCCAGAGATTAGAGCCAGAGGAGCCTCCTAGTGATAGGAGCCAGGATGTTCTGTCATTCTGTTTTGAGAGGAAATACGAATAGCTCATTGTCTGAAAGCAAGATGGAAGGGAATGTAAAAGGGGAAGAAAAAAAAAAAAGGAAAGCACTCTATTGGCTGAGCCCAAAATGTTTTCTGAGTGTCCAGACAAGGGCCAGGAGAATAGTATCAAACTTTAGGAACAGAGTTTCCCAATGGGAGTAAGATTCCAGAAAGATTTTCTGGAGAAGGTGACCCCCCCAGCTGTGTAACAGATGAGGACTCTTGGGGAACACGAAAAGCATTCCAGGATAGAGACAGTGTCAGCAAATACATGGAAGCAAGATCTTACAAAGTGAGTGGTCAGGGGACTTCCAGGAGTTTTTAAGCCTAAAGGGAATGTTGGAGACCAGACCCTGTTCTCTGGAGGCTGAACATGGCCCTGAGGGCAGACTTCAGCTGGGCAGGCAGATGCCAATGTGCATTGCAGAGGCTGGACTGGAGAGCAGGAGAAGGAGGCTGAGCAAGGCAGCAGCCAGACTGTGGCCTAGGGGGGCAAAGAGTGAAAACAGAAGGTATTGTTGGCTGGAAATCTGAAAAGGAGGCAAGTATGAGTGAGTGGCTGGTGAGGAGGGGTGAGCCCAAGAAATGGTGGGGATAATGTGGCCACCTTAGTCACAAGGATGCTGGGGCAAGAACAGGTTTGAAGGAATACAAGACTTACCTTACCTCTAAGCAAGGTGAGGAAGCTGCAGATAAGGGTCTTCTTTATGAGATGAGGAAGTGATAAAATGAGCCAGGACAAGTATTGGGTAAAGAAGAGTGGGCTGAAGGCGAGCACCAGGCACATTGGTGTACCAAGGGCCACCCAGGGAGCAGGAACCCACTGAGGGCACAGGGAAGAGCAGTCTCAAAGGTCCAATGAGACCTGGTATGTGCGTGACCTCAAAGTGGAAAGGAGGCAAACCTGGGTATGCAACAGGGAGGCCTCTGGTGTGTTTCCAGAAGCCCTTTCCTTGGAGTGATGAAGCCATCCTATAGTGATTGACGTATAAAGGAGGTAAGGACAGAAAGACAGCAGGAATGTGTCTTGCCTCAGAGATGAAGACAAATGAAACACATCTGGAGAGCCTGAAGGAGAGCACCTTCAGGGAAGGAGGGAAGTGTTGATGTGGAAAGAATGAGTGAGAAGAGACATGTGGGACCATGTAGGAGGAGACCATGTGGGTGAAGACACTTTTCCATCTTCTTTGAGCTAGAGGAACCATCTCAAAATATACCCCAGATGAAGTCAGTGGTTCCCCCACTAGAAAGTTCTAGAGGAGTGGCAAGATAGAAGAAAGCCTGAGAAACTTTGGTATGCAGGATAATCTGGTGACCTATCATGCTTCCTAGGAGACTCTCCATTTCCCAAGGATTCAAACTACATATGCCCTTCATGGCTGTATCCTCAGCACTGAGATCAGGGCTAGCACTCAGTGGTATTAAGTAATACAAATTGATGGCATTGGAGTAGAGAGAAATGAGAAGCAGAGATATTGGGGTTCAGTGAGTGGTTTCTCTGACAATGACTTCATGACAATGACTTCATCAGTTCCTGTTCAGAAGCACACAGCAATATTATCATTAAGGAAACATAAAAGAAACATTTACACAGACACAAATGCAGGTGAAGGCTGCATTTAATTTTTTTTTAATTTTTTTTAAATTTAAATTTTATTTTTATATTCCCCATACAATTGCAACCCCAAGCCCTCCTTTCCCTGGCCCCCACACCCTGTAGAGTGTCTCTGGTTCATAGTTGTTTGTTGATTTTGATTATATAGTTATTCTTTTTCCTGGTCCCTTATTTAAGTTTTCTAGATTCCTGCTAGGAGTGAAACCGTCAGTATTTTTCTTTTTCTTTCTGGCTTATTTTGCTGAGCATGATTCCTTCCAGCTCCATCCATGTTGCTGCAAATTGCATGTGTTTATCTTTTTTGAATGCTGAGTAATATTCCATGGTGTATATGGACCACATCTTCTTGATCCAGTCATCTATTTTTGGGCATTTGGGTTGTTTCCAAAGCTTAGCTATTGTAAAGAGTGCTGCTATAAACATAGGGGTGCAGGTGCTCTTTGGAATTGATGTCCTTTGGGTAAATACCTAGGACTGGAATTGCTGGATCATATGGAAGCTCTATGTTTGGTAGGTCAAGACATCTCCACACAGCTCTCCATAGTGGTTGGACCAGTTTGCACTCCACCAATAGTGCAGGAGAGTTCCTTTTTCTCCACAACCTTGCCAACATTTGTTGTTGCTAGTTTTTTTAATATGTGGAAGGCTGCATTTTATAAGGGCAGGTTTATTAGGGAAAAGGGATGCCTGCATAGACAACGGTAGGCAGTCTTAGGGCAACAAGTATCCTTATATAGTGTTCTTTGGGAGGGGGTTCATTTATTTGTGGAATTTTATTTATTGTGGAATCTATCACTTCTAAGGTTGGCTTGGGTTAATCTATAAAAACTGGTGATCTTCTTTGTAATGATTGGCAATTCACCATATCCCCACCTCCAGTTTCTGTCCTTTAAGATCATCCACAGACATTTTAATAACAATAATTTCTATCCCACCTGTTTTTTGGCCTTGTGAAATCCACCTTAAATTTTGTACTCTAAACTTTTATCAGAGACCTGGTTAAAGAACTTGTGTCGATAATGGAAGACTTTTGAAGCCTCAACCCAATGGAAGATATCACAAAGGAACAAGAGTGTTTTGAGGTAACATCTCATCACCCAGACAAAAATAACCATGGGAGGGCCTCTCTGGTAGCCCAAGGGTAAAGCCTCTGCTACCACTGTGATGGCCCTTCGCAGTGGCATGAGTTTGATCCCCAGCCAGGGAGCTAACCTCCATGGCGCAGCAGACCTCTCCTGTTTCACCCACTCCTCCCCTTAGCAGTGTATTTCAGTAGATCTGCCTGTTCTGCTCCCCACTCTGACTCTGGTGAATTCTCTTCCCCCCCAACCCCCATACCTCTGGCCTATACCACACAAAAGTAAATAAATAAAATGCAAAACTAAATAAATAAAATCTTAAAAAACATACACACACATGGGAGGTGGAACTAAGATGCCCGATTCATGTTATGGGGATGGACAACATTCAAAAGTGAGGGATGCTCAGTTTATTGCACTCCTGGACCCACATTTGAGTTACACCAGACTCTACCAACTTGCTTTTATCTTATTTCTTTTTCATCCCCATAAATGCTTCCCAAAGCCCCATCCTTGGGGAAACTGATTTGAAAGCCTTGCCTCCAGTCTTCTACCAGGTGACCTTGCATTTTAACTGGTTCTTTTCTCAAAAGTTGGTGACATGGTTTTTGGCTTCCTTGCCATTGGGTAGTAGGCTCCCATTCAGCAACAGCATCTGAAGGGGAGCGCAGTCTTGTGAGGCTCTTTACTTGTGGAATTGAATGCTTAGAGAGTGTCAGAATTGAGTTTGAATTCTCAAGCACCCTGTTGGTGCTTGGAGAATTGATTATGGGTGTGGGGAAGTCTCCATACACATGTTGGAATTGGGTCCCAGAATCCTTTCAAACAGTGACTATATTTGCAATATATACCAGACAAAAGATTGTTATCTAGAAAATATAAAGAAATAAGGAACTTCTAAAAATCAATTATTAGTTAACTAGGTAGAAAAATTGTAAAGGAAACTCACGGAAGAGAAAGTCCTAGTAGATGTATATAAAGGAAGTAGAGTTCAATCTTATTAATAATCAGTAAATGCAAGTGATATGCTTACATTTTCATACACTGTTTAAATAAAGCCTTACACTGATACTTGTTTAAACAGTAGGATGACTTATTTTTTTATTTTTTTAAAGATTTGTTTTTGCATACAAGAGCTGGGGTGTAGGTAGGAGGTGCAAGGGGGTGAGATGGTTCACCAGAGAGAGTGGGGAGCAGAACAGGTGGATCTATTGAAATACACTGCTGAAGGGAGCAGCAGGATAGACAGGAGAGGTCTGCTGCGCCATGTGGGTTAGCTCCCTGGTGGAGGACCCAACTCAGGCTGCTGCGGTGAGCTGCTGTGGTGATAGCGCTGAGTCTTAACCCTTAAGGCCACCAGGGAGGTCCTGTGCATTATATTATAGATAATAGCAATGCAAAATAATTCTTGTCCACTGACATGTAAATTCTGTTGGGTGAAGAGTTGACTGATTTGCCTTCCCCACAGTGGGAGAGGCCAGTTTTGTACCATTTGCATTTTCATTTCAATGTTCCTGAATACTGAAAAACTAAGGAGGTAGTTTGGCATAAGATGTCATTAACTTTCTCATCAATGAGTAAAAATTTGTATGAGAGTTATGATTTTAC